TCGCCTTCGATCTTTTCGGCGCCGAAGTTTATAACATTAGCAGAAAGAATACCGAGGTCGACAACGCATTGGAAGCCAATGTTCATTGCTCTTCTGTGTGCATACCTGTTTCGCAAATCTGACCCCGACGCCTAGCAAGACACGACTGAATATCAACATGTACACATTCAAAGCTGCAGCACCAAGGGCTGAACCAACAAGGAATGCAGCTCCTCCTATAAGGATCGAGGGCTTGCGACCAAAGGCTCGAGTCACCGGCGATGCGAAGAAAGACGAAATAAGTCCAGCTATGTAGAGTGAAGACGTAAATGAAGTCAACAATTGGCCGTCGAATTTGCAGTAATTGCTGATGTTGGTGTCTTCTTTCATCTTCGTGTAAACCTTTGGGAAAAACTTCCTCAGAAATGGCTCCATGGACGTCACTCCACCTTTGATCACAGCATCAACACATGATAAGTAGATAAAATGTAAGGGTCAAAATCAATTGAGTTTACACAAACAAAATTGAGTTTGTATTCGTTCATTTAACGTTTATGAATATATTCGTTTAATATTATTGTCAACCAAAACTCTCCTTAACTAGCAAATTTCATTTGGAAGTCAAAGAAAAATGGTGAAATTATATCCTTAATCATTATATTCTTTAGGTTCCACAGTTTGAACTCTAAAATTTACTTTATATTCAATTTAGTCCATACATTCACTAATATTTAAATGTAAAAGAATTAAACCTAGTAAACGAGCTCATAAAAAAGTCAATAAACGATATGATGGATGAAGCTACGATTAGTCCCGGGGTTCTGCCCCATACTTTTTATTATTAAAAATATATGGGAAATTATTAAGTTGGGACTCTAAATTCTAGTTTATTTTGATTTTATCCCTCATTTTCTATGGTTATTTATATTTTGCCCCCTAGGTTGGAATTCTGACTCTGTCCCTGAACGATCTTGTTTGTGAATATAAACGACTCGAGCATACCTTTATTTGTGTTCGTTCGTTTATTACATGAACATAAAAATTTTGTTCATACTCGTTTATTTAGCTTAATAAACGAAAGTTATATGAACGGTTCACGAACAACTCATCGTACACTATGTTCATTTACACCCCTAAGCTCAAGAATGAATTCATGTTGGTTTTAGCCATGAATTTACTACAGAAAAAGCTAAAGCAAGCTGATTGGAAGAGACACAGAGAGAGTAGATGAAATATAACCTGAAATCCCAAGGTCATAGCCAAAGATGATTCCTCCAATGGCTGCCATCATGCATGAAAGAAGGAGGAGCAAAGTTACCCTGCCATTGTATTGGCCACCTTCACTTGTTATGGCTATCCCAACTGCCATAGCTTCGGTTGTGTTGAAGATGTTCAGATAATGGAAAAGACTTTATACCCAAAAAAATTGAATTAATCGATTTTTTAATTATTAATTAAATTATTTTTTAAAATTATTAATCGAATGGAATAAAGTTTAATTAATTCAGTTAATTTCAAATTATTTTTTTAGTTAGATTAAAACTTAACAATGAACACCCTTAATGAGAAGCATGTGAATATGTGGTCAGTGGATTCGATTTAAATTAAATGATTATCTCTTGATGACTTGATTTTGAAATAATCAAAATTTAGGAGGATCTAAATTTAAAATGATCTTGAATAAGTAGCTTGAAATAACTCAAACTAAACAAATAAATTTTTGGGTAAACTATACGTTTAGTACCCAGCTATCACTTTTGTTATGTTTTGGTCATTTAATTATTATTTTTTTCAAAATCACATCTAACGTTATGTGTTGGTTTCATTTTGGTCATCTACTGTTAAAACTTAACAAAACTGTTGACATGCCATTTTTTTTAATTTTTTCAATGATGATGTGGTATTACCTTATGGTGATATGTCAACATCACCATTAATTTTTTTTAATGATGAGTGACCAAAATGTAACTAAAACTAAATGTTAGGTATGATTTTGAAAAAAATAGTTAAGTGACCAAAATGGAACAAAAGCGATAGTTAAGGAACTAAATGTGTGATTTATCCTCAATCTTTTAATGTCATTTACCTAATAAATATTTGGGTAAACTACACATTTAGTACCTAAATTATCAATTTTGGTCTATTTTGGTACCTAAACTTTCAAAATCATACCTAACATTTAGTTTTTGTTTCATTTTAGTGTCATGTCATTAAAAACTTAACGCGTTTAGTACATAAACTATCAATTTTGGTCCATTTTAGTGCCTAAACTTTTAATTTTTTGTAAAAAGTTAACGTTAAATTTTGAGCAATATACTAAAATGAAATAAAAACTAATTATAATCACCCAGTTTCTAGTACGACGTTGCTTCAAGGAAGGGTGCATGGATACAAGATAATCACAGCATAGGTTTGATGCTTGATTGTTATAATGTAATACAGGTTGAATCCGGACACACGGTTCTTGTTCATGCAGCTGCCGGTGGGGTTGGATCTTTATTATGCCAGTGGGCAAAGGCACTCGGTGCCACTGTCATCGGAACCATCTCGACCGAAGAGAAGGCGGCTCAAGAAAGGAAGATGGATGTCACCATGTCATAATTCTCAAGGAAGAGGATTTCGTCGCCCGTGTCGATGTGATAACATCAGGCAAGGGAGTGGAAGTTGTCTACGGTTCTGTAGGAAAAGATACATTTCAGGTAATCATGCATGGTTTCCATTCCTTATGCTACTCGTAATCGAATGTTGAGTTTCCGAGTGCTCCTTCGGGATGATGCTCTATCGCGTACTTGTGATCATGGTTTTCGTGTGTAGGGCTCCTTGGCATGTTTAAACCCTCGTGGATATATGGAGAGCTTTGGACAGTCTTCTGGTGCACCGGATCCGATCCCGTTGTCTGCACTTGCAGCAAAATCTTTGTGCTTGACTAGGCCTTCCATGATGCATTACACATCGACTTGGGATGAGCTGTTCGAGACGGCCGGGGAGGTGTTTGATAACGTCGCATCGGGCGTTTTGCGGGTTCGGGTGAATCACAAGTACCCTCTGTCGGAACCTGCAAGGGCACATGAAGTCCTGGAGAATCGCAGAACATCTGGATCAGTTGTGCTGATTCCATGAAAGCATCAAAAGGAACCCCCTTGGTCTTGTGTTAACGTGGGGATTGTGAACTCTATATGGAAGCCTGTGCTGAATAAATAGTTACTATTAATAATGTAAAGGGGTTAATGTCAGAAATGGTACCTTTATTTTGATCTATCTGTACACTTATTAAGAACAAAAATACAATGGATAAACTACGTATTCAGTAACTAAACTACAGTTTTAGGTCGTTTTAGTACTTTAACTTTTACTTTTTTTAAAAATCATACTTAATGTGTAGTTTTTGTTTTATTTTAATACCCTACCGTAAAAACGCATTTAGTATTTAAATTATTAATTTGGTCCGTTTTAGTATATAAACTTTCAATTTCTTTCCAAATTTAAAATTCTTCAACAATAACTATAGGATGTCTCAAAGAAGGGATTAAAAACAAATAATGCTCTATTTTTAATAAACATCTCAAGGAGCAAACATTTTTATTAACTGAAATTTAAAAAATATTAATCTCAATTATTATTTAAAATACACGTAATAATTTAAAAATATTATGATATATAAATAGATTTTATTTTCCTCTCTCACTCACTATAACTCGTGGATTTAAATATCGATCACAATAACGTTTTCGGTTGTATTGTGTTTATCGTCAGGGACGGAGCTAGGATTAGACATTAGAAGGAGCTACTTTTCTTTACAACGAAAGAACAAGGTTTAATAAAGTATTTAAATATAAAAATTGGGAAGGTCAATGATCTAATTTAATTAATATTTAAATTAAAATGACCTAAAACATTATTGCACCGAAAAATTTAGGAGGGCAACATCCCCTCCCACCTCCTTAATAGCTATGTCACTGTTTATCGTGATTGCGGATAATGTCATGATGATTATGAGTATCGTGGATTTGCGATTGTGCAATAACAATTACGAACGACAACACAACCATTATTTATCGGATGTTATTTTGATAGCAGACTGCTATTTAAATCCCCGAAATAGAAGTTGAAGCTAAGTTTTATTATATAACGAACCAAACGGAATGAGTTGGTAAAAGAAACAAAAAGAAATCCGTTGAATTTCAAGTATTTAGTTGGGGTAGGAAATGCTGAAGCCAGTGAAGCAACAGCAATCTCTCTCTCTCTCTCTCTCTCTCCTCCAAACGCTCCACTGAGTCTCACTAACTGAGTCTCCTTTCAGTTCCCTTACAGTTACAGTGCTAATCCTAACAGAAATCTCTTCACCCACTCACTGAGTCTCACTCACTCACTGAGTCTCCATTCATGCTTTCAGAACCAAAAACCCACCAACTCGCTCTCGCTCTCTATATATATGCATTCTCTGCTGCACCTCTCACTTCCATAATTTCTCTTCTCTTTCGTGTCCGCCCTTTGTTTTTTATCGTTAATTTCCAAATCCCTCATCTCTTCGCAACACCGTTGATTTGCAGGCTGCTGAGCTGAGATTTGATTCAACCAGCCCACTGTATGATCTTCTTCTTTTACTCATTCTGATTTCTGTTGCTTTGCTTTTCTGTTTGGTTGGTTCCCGAGAAACCGCGAGAAAATTTTCGCAAACTAGAGTTTTTCTTTCAAGTACTATTCTGTTAACTTTCTTGTTGATTTTATCTTCTTTTTCTCCTGATTATCTAATGCGCCTGTACTTGTTTCGGATCCATTGCTTTTTCTCTTACTTCTTTTAAGCTTTTGCATTTAATGAATTCCTCCTACTGTTTTCTTTTTCTATGTTGATCAACTACAACATCACTGCTACATTAATCAACTTCCTTTTGTTTTTACATTCTCAGTCTTTCTCGGAAACCCTAATCCACTCCTCCATGCATATTCGTTCAGATCATTTCTTATTACTTCGGATTCCGATGATTTTCCGTTTGTTTTCATGTGATCAACAGATCTGAGAAATGGAGAGAAGATCGCCTAATCGTGATGAAGAAACATCTGCTGCTACGAATCTCTCAGTAATCTCTCTCTCCCCTTCGTTTTCATTTCATTGATTGCATTTTTGCACGCAGTTTTTTCCTCAGCTTTCGATTGTTGCTTTATTCTGTTATACGCACACGAGCACTCACCTCACGCGCCATTCTCCATGCTACCAAGTACGCGTCGTATTATCTACTGAACGAAAGTGACGTTTTCTTTTTTCCGCGAACATGCAAAACCTTTTTGTCTGCTACGCGCGCGTAAACCTTGTTTTTCCCTCTCAAATCAATTTTTCCTGGGTTAAAATTCAGTGTTCACGTACAATAATTAGTATCGATATTGTTTGGAAATGTTTCAGGAGATGATTCACTTGAAAAGGCAAGAATCAGAGGAGTGGTCTAAGGTCGCTAAAATGAGGTTTTGTTTAGGTTCTTCACCTGATTCTACCTTTGGTAAATTAATCAACCTCATCTTTATGCTTTTATATCCTTAATTTTTTTTCCTGTTTTTCATTAATGATTAACCTCCATTAATGCCCGCTTTCAGATGCTGTTTCTCATATCAGAGTTGGGTCTTACTACGAAATTAACCATTCCAAGCTTCCCATCAAAACCCCGGACCAACTCAAGTTAGTTCGTGTTATCATGGTAATAAACCTGACCTCAGTCCTCAAATGAATTCAAAACAGAATGAAACGCATTTGGTTTTGAGTTTGCTTTTCGAATCCTAATGGGTAACTGGGTTTTTTTTTTTCTTTACTTTGTTTGCCAGGTGAGTAAGAAGTCCAAGTGCAGCGTGTCGTTGAGGTATCCAAGTAGGTATTCTCTTCGAGCACATTTCAGCCAGCGGAACCGGACGAAAGGGGATACAAAGATGTTGCCTACACTGGATGAACAGTATGCCATGGTATCGGAGATAGCTGGGGATGTTTTATATCGGAGGATCCCACCACATGAACTATCGGTGCAAAGGAATCAATGGAGGTTTTGGGTAATGGAGGTTTCTCCCAAGGAACAAGAAATAGGGAAGAACCCAAGCCCAACTATCATTACCAGCTATGTCAACATGGTCCTTAAGCAAGGCTTGTGCTGGTCTGAGTTGCTATCCGGAGGGATGGTCCGGTGGGGTCGGCGTAGACTGGTTAGGTTCTTGAGTCCACACGTGCAGGAGACGTGGACAGGAAGTGTCCAAGGACAAGAGGAGGAAAAGGAAAATGAAGAAGAAGATGAGGAGGAGGAGGAGGAAGAGATCATTATGGGGGCAGATAGGAAGAGCTCTAAGAGGACGCTCCATGGAGCAAGCTTAAGAGCCCATATGGCAAAGAAACTAAAGCATGAAAATGATCAGCAAATTATGCTTTACAAGCCAAGCAAGGGAAGAGAAGTCAAGAACTCCATAGAAAGATGGTCTGTTCACCGGTGAGCTATATAGTTTATTTATTCAATTTTTGTTGAATTAATTTCTTTTATAAAAGCTGGTTTATCTAAGTTGGATGAATGAATGTTAATAAAGGTATAATTTAGCTGAGAAAAACATGTTGAAGATTATGAAGGAGAAGGGAGCAGTGTTTGGGAACCCAATACTCAGGCCAGCATTGAGACTAGAAGCTAGGAAGCTGATAGGGGACACTGGTTTGTTGGATCATTTGCTGAAGCACATGGCGTGGAAGGTGGCTCCTGGAGGTGAAGAAAGATTCATGAGGCGCCATAATGCTAACGGGGCAATGGAGTATTGGTTGGAGAGTGCTGATTTAATGAAAATCAGGAAGGAAGCTGGGGTACAGGATCCTTATTGGACCCCACCTCCTGGTTGGAAGCTTGGTGATGATCCCACCCAGGATCCAGTATGTGCTAGAGAGCTCAAGGAGCTTAGGGAAGAGATAGCCAAGCTAAAAAAGTATGGATCCTTTTATCTTTTTACTGTTTAATTTGTCATTCACCTATATGTACGTTATCCCTTACAAGCAGATTTTCATTACTGATATTGGTCTAATATATGTGATCTATGTTTAAAAGGGGCATGATGGAGAACAAAAACACTGAAGAAAATCTAGCTCTTGCCATCACCTCGAAATCTTGTGCTGCAAGCCAAAACATGGTTCGTGAAGCCAATATGTTACTCCCGTTGAAGGTAGATTTATTGAGGCCCTTCTTGAGTACTTATCTCGTTTACCATTCATAATTTCATATGGCTCTTTTAACTAATAGTTTTGTTTCTCAGGAAAAGTACATGGACTTGATGAAATTGAAAGATAAACTTGAGGGGCAGCTGGGTGATATTGGAAAATCTTTGTGTGGAGTGGAGGTATTCATCCCCTGATCATAGAAGTTCACGTACTGTTTGAACTGTGTTTATTTTTCACGGAATCCTGACGATCATGAAAATGGGATGGATGAATCATACAGGAAGAGATGGGGAAGCTGAAGTCTAAAGTGGAAGCTGCAAATGCACTTCTGCTAATGGGATCAACAAAGCCGCCATCAAGCACTGAAAGTGACAGATCTGTACTGGCGATATCAGATGAAGAAGTAGAAGAAGAAAAGAACCCATCAGTTGCTAGAAAAAGAAGAAGCCCGGTTGTAACAAGAGAGGAGAAGGCAGCGGCAAAGAATGAAAGGCTGAAAAGTGGGTTCAGGATATGCAAACCACAAGGGACCTTCCTGTGGCCAAACATGGGACCATCCAGCCCCAATGGGGACCTAGCTCCGATCACCACTCCTCCCGTTGTCAAATACTTACACACAAATGGTCTCGTCATCAACCTGAATGAGGTCCCTGGCATTGGCAACCCCAACCCCCAAGAGAATGGATATTGTGGGTCCCACACTCACAGCTCACCTTGTCCACTCACATATCAGAGAAGACATACTTCCATGCCACGAGTATATATAGATATATATATATATATATATGTTCCCACTATACCCTTTTGATTAATTTGTTTAAAACATGGAGGAAACTGACAATATTGTGATTTCACATTTGTCTTCACAGATGATACATGGCGAGAAAGAGAAGGAGTCGATGAGGGCGCCGCAAAGAGGAGGAGGATACTCACCAAGAACATGGTTGGCTCTTTCTACTCCTACCCCTTTAATCAACAATAGGCGAGTCTAGAAGAACCCTACTATTATTACATCATCCAAACTTACAAATTTATATTGGAATTTTTTCATAATATATACACACTCAGACACAAGAATTATGGGTATTATCACACTTGTATTTTCTCAGGAAAATACCCCATATTTAAATAAATTACAATCCTTGAAATTAATCAAGTCTTATCCTATAGCTTAGCATATTTGTTGAGTTTTGCTTGCTTTTCTGCATCATGATCACCAATTCCAACTCAATTAAAAAAGTATCAGAAAATCTTACATGTACCTTAAGTATTTGTGTAAAGATGTTCTATTTTTCTATATTTTCATATAATTTTTATTAATTAGAACTCATTATTTAAGAATTAAATACGAGTTTAATATATTTATATCCAAATCCTTTCACACTTTTAAGTTAGATTTGGATTTGAAGAGTTTAGAAGATTTTTAACGAGTTCGAATTGAAATAAAAAAGAGAGAAAAAAGGTAGTTTGATGATTTATTCAATCGAAATGAGACAATGGTCTAATAGAAATTAAAGATTAAAACTTTTTGATCGTTCATTATTGACCGTTGGATCAACTTGGAACCAAAGTATAATATTCTAACCAATCGAAACCTTTTTGTTAGGATTGATTAGTGATCGCTCTATTCATTGAAAATTTAACTTTTACGGTGGTTGTTAGTTTAGAAAACTTAAGATGGGCAAGAATTTAACGCGTCACGTCAATATTTCTGAACGATAATGATTATTATGAAAACAAATTAAAAATTTAATGACTATAATGTAATTTTTAAAAGTTCAATGACCAAAATGAAAACATCTTAAAAATTTAGTGATCATTAGTATACTTTATTCTATTAATTATAACTTAAATTATAAAATATTACTATAATTTATTTTGTAGTTTATATAATTTTATAAAATAAATATAATTAATTTTATTTTAGAGTACATAATTATTAGGGTAAACTATAACGTCGAGTACTCCAACTCTTATTATTGTTTTGTTTTGATCCTAACTGTTTTTTTTAAAAAAACATGTCTAATGTTATATTTTGATTACATTTGATCATTCACCTCTAAAAAAATTAACAGTGATGCTAATATGTCACTATAAGATAATGACGTGTCATCAATGAATTTTTTTCAAAAAATATCATGTCATCACTTCCGTTAATTTTTTAACAATTAATAATCAAAATGAAATTAAAACGTAATATTAGATATTATTTTACAAAAAACATTAGTTGGAGTACTAAATATGTAATTTACCCTTTTTATTATTATTATTTGAAAGTCTACTCTTTATTTTGCCCAAATTTCTTCATCTTCTCCGAGTTCTCTCGCGCTTTCTGCCGAACGAAACTCAAACCCTACTTTGCGACTTTGCTTTCAATGGATTCTATCCACACCAACCTCAACGATCCCCAGTCGTATTCTGCTCAAACCCTATCTTCCGATTACCCGCCGCCGCTACCACCGCCTCCGGAGGCCTTATCTTCAGATCCCTCCCAAACCATAGGATCTACTCCGGGCCACGGAAGTAACAAAAACAGTAGCCAGGTTAATCACGAAGCCGGTTCCGATGCTGTCAACAACCCTTCTTCAACGAAACCGGAGATTCATAAGTCTCTACTGTCGGAAAATGGATTAACTAATACGCAGAGCGGCACCACGACAAGGATTGTTCCGGAGGAGAAGAGGAAACCAGCAGCCGAAGGCGGAGGAGGAGTCGTTGGGACCCTCCTTCGGATTCGAACGACAACCAGAACGGGAATGGTGAGACGGGTAGTGGGAACAAGAAGAGGAAATCCCGATGGGCAGATGATGAGCCTAAGCCGGTGATTCAGCTCCCTGATTTCATGAAAGATTTCACTGGAGGTATACAATTTGACCCGGAGATTCAGGCTTTGAATAGTAGGTTGTTAGAGATTAGTAGAATGTTGCAGTCCGGATTACCATTGGATGATAGGCCTGAGGGTGCTAGGTCACCTTCTCCTGAACCTATATATGATAATATGGGAATTAGGATTAATACCAGAGAATATAGGGCTAGAGAGAGATTGAATAAAGAGAGACAAGAAATTATATCTCAGATTCTTAAGAAGAATCCAGCATTCAAGCCGCCAGCAGACTATAGGCCACCCAAACTTCAGAAGAAGCTTTATATACCGATGAAAGAATACCCAGGTTACAATTTTATTGGGTTGATTATTGGGCCAAGGGGGAATACCCAAAAGAGGATGGAGAAGGAAACGGGTGCGAAGATTGTAATTCGGGATAAAGGTTCGGTGAAGGAAGGTAGGTTTCAGCAGAAGAGGGATATGAAGCCTGATCCTTCCGAGAACGAGGACTTACATGTTTTGGTTGAGGCCGAAACACAAGAATCACTTGAGGCTGCTGCAGCAATGTTGGAAAAGCTCTTGCATCCTGTTGATGAGGTGTTGAATGAGCATAAGAGGCAACAGTTGAAGGAATTGGCTGCTTTGAATGGAACAATAAGAGATGAAGAGTATTGTAGATTATGTGGAGAGCCGGGTCATCGTCAATATGCATGTCCTTCGCGCACTTCTAATTTTAAGAGTGATGTTTTATGTAAGATTTGTGGTGATGGTGGGCATCCAACAATTGATTGTCCAATGAAAGGAACAACGGGGAAAAAAATGGATGATGAGTACCAGAATTTTTGGCCGAGTTAGGAGGTACTGTTCCTGATTCTGCAAGCAAGGAAAACTCTGCATCTGTTACTTCTGGAAGCAATCCACCTTGGGCTAGCAATAGTGGAAATGCACACCCTGGCTTAGGGTTCAGCGCAGTTAAGCCCCCCAAGGAATATGATGATACTAATTTGTACATTGGATACTTACCTCCCAATCTCGATGATGATGGTTTGATCAGTTTGTTCTCATCTTATGGTGATATTGTGATGGCAAAGGTAATCAAGGACCGGGTTACTGGACTGAGTAAGGGGTATGGTTTTGTGAAATATGCCAATGTTGACATGGCAAACAATGCTATTAAGGGAATGAATGGTTATTGCCTAGAAGGAAGAACCATTGCTGTGAGAGTTGCTGGCAAACCACCTCAACCTACTGTGCCTCCTGGTCCTCCTCCTACTTCATCAGTTGCCACTGGCCCTGTTTCTAGCCTGCCAGTTGGTGCCTATCCCTCACAGCAGTTTACAACAGGAGGTCCCCTCACTAATGCTGCTCCTGCTAGTTATGCTGGGAATTCAGTTCCATGGGGACCACCAATTCCTCCTCCTCCTTATGCTCCTTGTGCTCCTCCTCCACCTCCTCCTGGATCAACGGTGTATCCTCCTGTTGCAGGTCAGCCTATGCCACCTTATGGCTTGCAATATCCCCCACATATACAGACTGGTCCTCCGGGTGTTCCACCTCCATCTGTGACTTGTAGAGAAATGCCACAAGATTTCCCACCTGGAGTGCAATCTGAAAACAATACCTCTGCCCCAGCTGTTCCTACAAATATATGGGAACTCAATGACTGTAATAGCGCCTAATTCACAAACTGCATACCCAATGTCTTCGTTAGGTTACTCTTCTTATTACAGTGCAGTTCCTCCTCGTCCTCCCACTCCTCCAGAACCTACATCTTTGGCTGACCATTCCCAGAGCTTTAGTAATGTACCTTGGGCACCAAATCCTCCTGTGCCTCCAACAGCCTCATCTGCGGAGAAAGCAACCTATGGTGCAGATGCTGAGTATGAGAAGTTCATGGCGGAGATGAAGTGATGCTGATACTCCATTTATAATCATATGCCAAGGTAACTTGTTAAATATGTTTCTTTCTATAGTTATATGCCGTTTTTATAGTTTTTGGTTTCATTTTTGATAAACAACCACTTAACCATCTGATGTTCTTTACTACATATTGTTCTGTTTATGACCATATAAGCCAACCGCTTGTTTTGTAAGTGCAACCTTTATTTTTTTTCATTGCTGCCTGTTAGATTTTGGTTGCTAATAAAAAGGTAAAGAGACATGATATTCCCTTTCTAATCTTCTCCTATATGTGAAACGAATACAAATGCGCATATATAATATAGGGTCAAGAACTTAAAAAGGTTAGGAAGTTCAAATTATGATTGAGAGTTACCACATTTTTTGTATATTGCTTATTGAAGAAGAAACTGATCTAAAATGAGATCCTATCGGCACACGATCAGGGTTAACAATTAGAGTTTTTCGACTGATTGTTTCTTAACTTCATATCTTGCACCTTTAACTTTGCATTTTTCCATCTGTCTCTTTATCTTGATAGTTTTCACATAACTTTTATATATTTGAAAAGGAACGAAGTCTTCAAGACAGTCTTCTAATGAAATTGGAATTCATGCAAGGTATCAGGGTATCATGTGTTAATTTTTTATTGCTTTAGTATGCCATTAGAAAAAGTCTGGTATAAGTTTACAAATTTGCAACCGTTTTTTCAATGATTAAGATTATAATTATGTAACGTTATATTGTAGTGATGGATTTGATGATGCTTTGATCTCATGGTATATTTTCCTATGAGAAAATGCTCTTTCTGTTTTCAGGCTTCTCATGTGAATCTACCAATTCTATCTGCCAAGTTTGTTGTTCTATTTGATGTATGCATTTCTTAACCCTTTCCCTTGTCATTATTGTAAAATGTTACAGGACTGATGTGTCTTGGAGCTGTTGTGAACTTGATTTCTTACCTCTTGCCATAACCTTGTTGGAAGTTTGGGACTCACTTCTTTAACCTTGCTGTAGTGTTATGAAATTTGCAGATACTTGGCTAAAGTTGATGAAGTTGGTCGCCTTTTGGAAAAGGCTGTTCAAATTTTTTTTACTAGTAAATATTCAGTGCACTGTAGGAATAAGTTGTGTTTTCTATGACTGCTTATTGGCTTCTGTTTATGTCTGATAACTAATGTTCTACTAGGGTTCATTTCTCATGCATTTCCGGAAGCTGGTTGCTGCCAAATTTTGCTATTACATTACATGTTATTTTGCTGGAGTATT